AACATCACAAGCTCCCCAAGGTTGTTTTGTTGAGAAACAATATCTGTAACTAGGGAATCCAGCCATGAAACAGAACAATTGTACATTTCGAAAAACAAAGCAGTGAAGGATGAGATGCAGTTTTCGGGGTAGTTTATAATCGGGACCGGGGGTACTCGAACCTAAAAAGTCTTGGGTGGTGGTGGGACTGCGACTGACGAGGCTGACCGATCAAAATGGGAGCTGCTACCCACGACAATTACCTAGGACGACCACCAAGAATTCCTGCTGCAGCTGATCGAAGGGATGAGTACCACGACCAACGATGACTCCTCCTCTGAGCTACCGTCCTCAGCCGACTTCCTCATCGACGCCCTGCCCGGCCAGCCGAAGTCAACCACCCAATCGATCATCCAATATGCCGGCCATCTGCCCTCTCACCCTCCCTCGACCCTCAGCCCTCCTCCAGATTCTCACCTGTGGTTTTGGCTAATCCGATCGAAGCACATTGCCGACCGTGAAAAGTACTTCCCTACTCGCATTTTTTTTTGGTTGAATTATACTCCTGTCAAGCCGCGCGTTGTTGAACTAGGATCCTCTTTCTGATTTGGTTAAATGAATGGCCAACAGATTTGTCATCTGGTTCAACGGTGGACCCGGATGTAGTTCTGCCGAAGGAGCTCTCATGGAAATCGGCCCACTCACCCCGAGTCTAAAAAATGAACCAGGGAAGCCAATCGAATTGGTAGAATCGACGATTGGATGGTCGGAATACGCAAATCTATTATTCAGTCAGTGCTTTCCAACTTCAAACGGAAGACGGATTTGAAATTTCAGTTGTCCAAATCTAAGCATTTTTCGATATGTATATATCTCCTTTTCGATTTTGCACTCTTTTCGTAGTCGATCAGCCAGCTGGAACAGGTTACTCGTATGTTAATGTTGGAGATGATGTTCGCGAATTGGCTGGGGTGGGTATGTCTGAACTTGAATGAAGAACTGCGCCACTCCCAACAGTTCCATCCATAACAGAAACCCTTTTTTTTTTTTTTTTCTTCTAAGATACTGAAACATTCACACCCTTCTCCCATAGGCATCTGAACAGGTGGTCGTGTTTCTCAAAAATTTCTATAAAGTCTTTCCAGAGTTTTCCAAAATCGACGTCAGTATTTGTAAATCCATTTTCAGTCCTATCAACTAACGTGTCTGTCATCCATTACCAATACTTGTAAATCATAATGATGAATGACACTTTTCACTTTTCGACAGACTTACCTCGCCGGAGAATCGTTTGCAGGACAATATATCCCCTACTTTGCTCAAGCTATTCTTGATACCGCAGCACTCTCGACGCCTTTATTAGGGCTCATGATGGGTAACCCATGGATTAACCCTAAGGTCCAATATTTATCTTATTTAGGTTAGTCCCACCTGAAAGCAGTCTTTGCCATCAAATTTGATTCCATTGACAAATCAAAATACAGATTTTGCATACGAACGAGGTATGATTGTAAAAGGTACCTCAAGCGCCGTGGAAGCAGAAAAGTCTTTTCAGAAGTGCATAAAGGCCCTCAAGGGAAAAACCGAATCTCAACGCATCTTAGTCGATTCATGCGAAGAAGGTTTACAATCTATCCTTGATGCTGGCGCGCAGGTGTTGGTGAACGATAACTTTGGATCTCCGGTTGACTCTGACTGACATGTTTTGAAAATCCTAGAGTTAACGGGACAAAAATGACTCCAGTTCCTTACAACATTACCGAGATGTCAGCTGAGGAGTCGGTGGAGTGGCCCAAGAAGAATAAGAATCTCAAGGCATATTTGGTCGTGAGTTGCACCCAGTTAAATTACGCAAAGTGTTTCCACTGATCCCAGGTCTGCATTCCTTCACGCCGTTTTCAAGCAAAACTCTACTGTCTCAGCACTTCATGCGACTGCCAAAACGGGAAAGTGGACTCTTTGTAATGATACCATAGGTGCGGAAACCTACTCAAACAAAGCCCCACCGATGGATTCTTACGTTGATTGGCATGAATGACCAGGGAAGGAAATGTGGGTACCCAGATCGGCGCCATCTTCAACATTGCTACCTGCCCTAGTCAAAAAGTTGAAAGTGATAGTCTACGTTGGAGACCAAGATTACATGTGCAATTCACTGGGCCTGAACCGATCGATATCCGAGATGGAATGGAACGGTCAGAAGGGTTGGGGTGTTGATGACAAAGGCCAGCAAATCGTGCCCCAAGATTATTATGTTAACGGCACCAAACAGGGAACCTGGACCGAAGCCCGTGGACTGACATTTGTCAAGTATGATCGCGCTGTACGCCAATAGATAAGAAGTTCTCCTTTTGACCACTGGTGATGGATATTTAATTTATTGCCAATCGCTCTTGTCAGTCACATCTAGTACCATCCGATGCACCACATGCAGCACATGACATGCTTCTGAGATTTATGGGAGTAGATGCCTTACTAGCGGCAGGCCCGGGGGGCTCACTTTCCTCACAAGTGGGCACGGACGATCATAAAGGAATAATTGTCAAGACACATCCGAACGGCACGTTGGTTGACCAAGATAATCTGATTACCGACCTGGACAAGAAGCCCAGCATTGGGGCGGCGCCGATCTTGGAGACCATCGAAGAGCGACAAGCGTATTACGGGCCACGCCAGACGATCGCTCTCATTGTCCTTCTAACCGGTCTGAGTCTAGGACTGGTGATGTTGTTCAAGTGGCGTCGGAGACGCAGACGGGCCCGACACGGCTCCAAGAATAAGGGAAGGGCCATCAGTATGCAGAGTCGATCTCCGGAGGCGTATGGCCATCGTAACACTCTTCTGCGCCGATCACCTAGCCCCACCCAACGCAAACAATCACGCCACCCAACACGTAAACTGAATGGCAATCATCTTACCCTCGACGAAGAGGCACAGGCTTTGGTCCATGCTGAAGAAACTTCTAACTTGGAGCCAACTACTCTCTCTAGGAGAACTTCCCTCTTTTCTTCAGATGTGCCCTCGCATTCTCGTCATGAGTCTCAGATCTTCTCTTTGGAAGACGAGGAAGAAGAAGATGATGATCATCATCATCAAAACGTCTAATATTTCCAATTCTAATTGGCCACAAAAGAAACACCCCTCACTAGATAATTTCATTTTGCATCGTTCATTGTTGATAGGCCCTACTACTAGTGGCTTGTAATTTAATTCGGACAATTCCATTTCTTTGATTTTCTTTTACATGCTATTTTTTGTTTTCTCATTTTTTTTTTTGAAAAGTAGATCGATCAGAGGATGAATTTCTTGCAAGGTTTTTAGTAAGATGATTTTTTTCAGTTAGGCCAGGCCCACTGTCCACCATATTTTGGATGCTCAAGTACCCCCTCTCATGATGATTAGAACCAGTTCACCCCCAAAAGCCAGACTGAAGCTTTCTGTTTGAAATTAAACATAAAAGAAGATCAGGTAGCAAAATATCTGAATCTTTTTTCTGTTTCAAGGCAGAGTTGGTCAGGACATTGTAGCTCAGCAAGGGTACCTCTGGCTGTTTGTTGATATACAAGTGATTTTTAATGGTGTAAAAAAAACAAATGCTTCATACAGCATACAGTCAAGATTCAATTCAAGGAAAGAAAATACAAAGAAAAAAAAACTGAATCTTCTTCACAGTGTCTTTGATGAGGGAACGGGCATGGACTGGTCTGAAGGCCCAAGTCTCTTGTGAGTGTTCTGGTTCCAGAGACGAAAAGAAATGTTTCAAATGTCTGTGCCAGGGATGAGTTATGCAGCATGGATTGTAACGAGTATCGAAGAGCCTTTAGTTGATACCTCTGTCATGCCACTCTACAGACGCAAGTCATCAAATCAGAACAGATCCTGGGGAACCCAAGTACTGGTATTGTAAGCTCATAAAGTAAAAAAAACAACTACACACATGTTGGGCACATCCTAGTATTGTCTGGATGGCAGCATCTATGTCTGCCTTGGGGGCAACAGCTCTGTTTATGGAAATATCAGTATATCAATGGACGTACTTCTGCTTCCAACTCCTGGAGTTTTTTTTTTCTAGTTGAAAATTGACTTACGATGTGTCAGTAAGTGTTTCTCTAACCACAGTGACCTGATACAGCAAGAAAAAAAAGAAGCAAAGGATTGTCAGTTAGTTAGAGGGTTGACTGCTCAAAGTGGACCATCAAAGAAAAAAAAGGAACACAGATTGCAAGGATCATAGTTGGTTGCACTTACACTGCATCTTCCACTTTGGACATTCTCTGGTTTATCTGATGTGAACATCATGCTCTTATCATCCCCCGAGTAGGGGATCTTACTTGCTGCACTGTTTCCGAGGAGAATCATTCGAAATCAGTGGATATCAAGTCCTGTACATCCATCCCCCAATTCATAGGATGATAAGCTGAGAGTGAGAGGAACTGCAGGCCCTACTCTGTGCACTGGTTGACGTCCACCAATGCATGGTAGCATGATTTGGCCGCTGAGAGGGGGCTGTAAGATAACAGGCCGACAGAGATCATCAGGAATTTATAAACGCTCATCTTGGGCTTGGTTGATGAGATGAAATATGTAGTGAGAGGAGAATAATCTGGAAACACTAATTGATACGGGGGCACTGAGCAAGATTTTTACAATTGAATGGGCACGTCGATGGGGGAGAAGAAAACAAAGCATCTGGATACATACAAATAGATGCATCAGTTTTAAATCTCAAGCAGCGGGAAACTAGTGACCGGCTGTTCAGAGGTCTGCAGTTGCTATGCGCAACCAATGGAGAGCTCTATAATCGGCATAGAAGCCAAGATGAGAAGGAACACCAGGACTAATATGTAATTGTTTGGGCTCGAGCTACATAGTGCTCACTGCGACACGATCAAGGTCGACAAGACAAGACTGGGCACCCCAAGAGGACATCACGGCTTTCAGTGAAACGAGACGATTCGGATGGCTTGATCACATAAGGTGTTTCCTGACGCCCCCATTCTTGGTCTTCCCAGAAAACAAACGGTCCGCTCAGGCTCCAAGAGACCAAGCGTACATATCTGTTTTTTTTTTCAAGTTCAAATCCTCAGCTAGGACCCCGGAGAGCCCCTACCAAGCCACCTAATGTAAAACCTGTGAAATCCAGGTTTTTGCTACCTAGGAATATCTGGTTTTGGGAGGCAGATGCATGTTTTTCTACCTCTGACATCAGGGTCCTTTTTGTTTTTTTTGAAGGTTTTTTCAATACATTTTCCTATCATGCATAAATTTCATTTTTTTTTTTTTTTCATCCTTGTGAAAAATCTCCCATCATTTTATGCATAAATTTCAACTGGTGGACAAATTGCTACCACATACATAAGGATCATGTGCTGCTTTTTTTTGTTTTTGCTACCTTTTTGTGGATTTACATTAGGGACATTTTGAAAAAAAAAACTGTTTTGCTACATCTTACATTAGGCGGCTTGGTTGGGGCTTTCCAGGGTCCTCCTCAGCTTCCTTCATTCTCATCCAAAAAAAAAAAAACACTGCAGATGAGGTGGGAATGGAGGATGGAAGACAATAGCAAGAAAGGATGTAGTGGGTCAATCGTCGAAGACATATGTGTATGTAGAGTTATGGTATTCAAAGTTGAAATGCATGAAATCATAGAGTGCATAAGATTATAATGTATATTTTTTTTTGGCAGGAGTTTTGATCATCAAGTGGGAAACTCCCACCAAAAAAAATGTGCATTATAATCTTATGCAATCTATGATTTCATGCATTTCAGCTTTGAATACCATAAGTGCAGTTGTCTCTCAATGCTTGCAACCGTCATTGCCTTTTTGCCGGATTGGCGATCAGCTCTTCAATGTCGGAGGGAGGCTTTGATCAGACTCCTCCTCGGGAAAGACAGTGGAAAGTTTGACTGGAAGAGGTTTGATGATTTCTTGAAGCAAGGTTTGATTGCCATCTGAAGATAGGACACTGGAGCAACAACGTTGCCTGAAGACTTTGTGAATGCATCGTTTGAGCTCTCCGTTTCCAATTGTTGCTAGCCAACCTCCAATATCCATCAAATAAATCGCGATCCCATTGAAGCAAATTCATCATCCTATCATCCTCTGTTATCTTTTGATTATCCTCTGAACCTGGACAACAGGACACTTTATATTTGCTCACATGACCATGATCATCTCGGTCCCCATTGATCCTCTATTTCAATATCAGTACAATCAGTTGAGATTCCAATAGAGTCTCAACTTTGATGGTCAGGCTCAGAAAGATGTACTCCCTGAGCAATTAAGACACCAATATAGAATGGATCCCTAGATTCTCTTTTGATGATTGAGATTATCGATAGCATCTGAGAGGATTCTAGTCACATTTGGGCATGGATGTGTGTGTTTTTGGCAACAAGCTTCCTCCTTGAAGATACACCACCGGGCGTGGTGGATGGCATTTGGACACCCAAACGGATGTACCAAATGCCATCCGACCTTGGCCCTGCAAGGAGCATCCATCAGATTTGACTTGCATTTTGCTGAACCCGGATGGTAACCATCCATTGGATCAAACTTAACCAAGTCCCTCCTCTTGCCGGAGGCTTCTGCCAGAGGGACTTGTGACTTATCAATGATTCTGGCATGAGACTTATCTGGGATTGGGTGGTGTTTCACTTTAAGCCCCCAGGACTCAGCCCTCATAGCAACAATCATTCTAAATTTCTGGTGGATGGTACGGCTCCATCTTCTGCTTCTTCTGATATAATTTCAGCCCACCCCCTCTCCATCTTCATTCTTGTTTGATTTTTTAAAAAACATCCATTTCCTCAAGTTTCTAGGATATTCCACCGGATCAGAACATAACTGACTGTGTGCAACCATCACAAGGTCTATTTGCTGATACAATGTGATCCTAAAGGCTCAATTGATCTCCCAAAGTAGTTGGATCTAGTTGGATCTGTGTGCTATGTACTTGTCATATCAATTGTTAATGAAATGTGGTGATATGCTTGACATCACAATCATTTTATTTTATTTATTCTCAATTTCTGATTTATTTTCCAAACATAAGTGTGCGGGATGTTTTATATATAAAATACATGCAAATTATGCTGAGAAGTAGGCCGTTCAGGAGAAATGGGTCCTGGATACATAGGTTGGGAAATGAATGAGTTCCATGCAATATGATGAAACGGGGGGGGGTCAAATATTTTGAAGTCTCATGCGAGATTTCCTGGTAAGTCATAAGTCCCTCCAGCAGAAGCCTCAGGCAAGGAGGAACTTAGTTAAGTTTGCCATTGGTTGGTGCGTTTAGAGGCCTCCGGGATCAAAAAGGACACAGCCACTGGGATTGAACCCATGACCTGAAGACCATCTAGCATGGACCCACCTGACCATCATCCTACAGCCCTACATCACCACTGCACAGCTACATGGCTTCTTGCCTTCCCCCCGCAACATTGTTTATAGCCCCCCAAATGCATATCTGGATGGTTTTCAACCATCAACCACCCTCCAAGCATAATTTTCAACAATCAACCAGTTTTTCTTTTTTGACTGCTGGACCCATGTGAAATCCACCAATCGGACACTCTGAGAAGTGTCCAATTGATGGTTTTTTTGCTGTCCACCGGACACTCTCAATCAGATGTCCGATGGACGCCAGGCTGTACACCATCCTCTGGATGGTCTCCACTGCCTGGTATCATTTGGACACTTTCTGAAGCGTCAAAATGATGCCAGACGCGCCCAAGCGTCCGTTGGATGCTTTGAAACCAAGTTGCGGGCGCTTGGGACGGAATCCATCTGTTTGCTGGGGGGGTTTCCAAAAAACCCGCCCCATGGTGTACATGTTGTAGATTGGCCAGGTGGAAGAAGTAGTTTGGGGCTCAGGATTCTGAATGTTGCTGTTGGCGTTTCCAGAGGAAGAAGCATGCAGGCTCATACATATAAATATAAAATTTCTTTCTCCATCAGAAAAGGAAGGACGGGGAGACACAGACGGAGTTGGTGGGCGGCTGGTGATTTGGTGACTGAAGAACAGGAGTTAATGAAGGAGATCCTTGAGGTTTGCTTTATTAAACATGCTATCAAAGGTTTTTTTAAGAGAACAGAAGAGAAGAAACTTCCAAGGAAAGGCGTTTATGATGATTAGAGCTAGCAATGTATATGAAGTCAAAGAGGAAGAAAACAAAAAACAAATCTTGTGATGAGGAAAGAAAGGAGAGGAGATACTGAAGAAATTATGACCAATGAGAAAGGAGAAATTTGAGGAGAATTTTTTTGGCAACAAAATGATTTTGTTGGAACGGCTCAAGGGACAAGAAATGAGGGAAAGAACCGATGTTTTTAATTATCATGCGTAATCAGTTTCTGATTGTTGGCACCACATTTGGAAAAGGGAGCGCTGAAAAGCACCAAAAAATGGCGCCTTGCGTGCCATTGCTGGTGTGTTTTCAAGGAGAAAAGATTTTATTTTGTGAAAGCAAAGGGTTTTTTGTTGAGGCTAATGATTCTATGTACATTGGATAAAACGTGGAGTAAAATATGTATGTGAGGATCAAATAATGAGAGGCAGAGATCTTCTGGATCTCAGTTGGATGTGTCAGATTTGTTGTCTTCAATTGCATTTCTGTCGATAATGTCGTTGTCAGGCTGGTCGGGAGTAGTTTTGATCAAGTCAAAGTTGAAGATTGTGTCCATGAACACATCTTCTCTTGAAGTTACTGTAGTGAGCTGGTTCTCTGTAAAGATGCCGTCTTCAAAGACCTCAAGTTTGGCCGGTGTGTCAGTGTGATGAAAGAGTTGTAAGCCTTCATGTTTTCATATTCCGAGTCTTCTTGGGTTGAATGTGAAGAAGTCCTCTGTTTTTTTCTTTTAGTGGCTAGTAAGGGGTCACCCTGAAGAAGATGTAGCTTGATCTGAGCCATCATCTTAAAAGTATCAGGCAAAATTCTATTACAAGATTTTGTTTTCATAGCGGTCATCATTGAAAACAGTCCTTCAACTCCAGCAGCGTGGGGTACAATCTCAAGGATGCCAATCCCCAGTTTTTTAAGTGATTCTTACTCGGGTGTATAAGGAACGGTGAGCCAGTAATGTAGAGGTTTAGAAATTTTCTTTGAATTGTAAGGATAGATTCCATTATAACATCAATGGAAAGCATCTCGCAGGAGAGATGCCTCAGATTTAGAAATCTTCCAGTCTTTTGCAACTTGGAGGATCATCCGACTAATATTGTTTAATGAGTGCTTCTTTGAGAAAGCTACACGTTGATAAGCTGGGTGAAGAAAGAAAGAAAGGACATAAATGTCCTCATGAAAGGCTTTTGTTTGCGCATGAAGGACATCAAGGCAATGCTGTTTGACAGGCTCAAACCTAGAGTAAACTTCAGTTTTGCAAATGTTCTTATAGGCATCTATCATTTCTTTCCAGATATCAGCAAGACAAGTATCTGCTTGTTCTAGATTACCAATTGCATCAACCACTGGTTTTAGAAGCTGAACTAGTGTTTAATTTGCAGTGAAGTGATCTCGATCCTCAATGACCTTGACAACTGCATCCGTCATCAAGGGTGTGTCCACTTGTTGGTTTTGGAGCAGTTCAAGGCATTTTTGGAAGCCAATTTCGTGCAATTGAACACCCAAGCAGACCTTCCCCATTGAGTACCACCATGTTTCACAAAGGGTTTGTAGACCATTTTTGACACCGTTTTCTTTTTGCCACATAGTCAGATGCTTGCGCCAGAAACCAGAATTGGTGAAGTAATTGACCAATGTTTTGTTTTTCTTGACAACAGCTTCCATCGTGGGATGATTGACAAACCGCTTAGCAACAAGATTGAAAACATGCAAGGTACAGTGAATTTTGAGAATGTGGGGATTTTTGCCGTTCAAGAGTCTCTGCATGATGTAATTATTGAGACTAACCAATTAGCAAAATGAAAACAACTAGTAGTTTATATTTTAGAATGACTCACACAAAGTTTAAGCATAACCAATGGTGAATCTGCGACAGCAGCACATACTTGATCCAATCCAATTTGCTTGGACTTGAGTGAAGCCTTGAGAGATGAGAAGATATTTTTGGCTGTGTGCCGCTTGTGGTTGAGGTCGAGGATATTGATAAGTTACTTTTGCTTAGCACCTTTGAGAGCCACTAATGTGTATATACTGTTGCCGGAGTTGTCCGTCCATCCATCCAAAGTCAAGGTAAGTTGATTTTGTTCTTTAACTTTATCATGCAGCCATAATTCATGTTGAGCATGTACTACAGGCAATAATTTTTTGATTACCTACTCTCAACAAGGTATCTTGTATACAGATTGTGCTAGTTCTAACTGATATTCTTGGAAGTAGGGGTTCTCAAGGTATTTGAATGGTGAATTGGAGCTAACAATTGATTTAAGAAGCAACTCATGGAGTTTGAGAGTCTTTTCCTTTGAAAAGGGCTGAAAGTACTGTTTGACTGATTGGCTAGATGTTTGACCACTAGGATCAATTGGATTTTGGACGACTCGATTCATCAACCTTCATAGTTTTAGATAAGTAAGATGACTTTTTTTTTGGCAGGAATAGCTGGACAGACATCTTTGATGTGGCTGAAGAGGAGTTGGGGCTTTCCTTGGTTGAAGACTTTTTGACAATAACTACACTTAGCAGATCGTCGCCTGGATTCATCGTTATGCAGATTTGACATGAAGAATCCTTCCCATTGTGGACCATGGCTTTTTGAAGGCTTCATCCATTCCTGTGGACCAGTTGAGTTTCTGATTGGTGGCATAATAGGAGCTAGGAAGTACACTGGTGGGAATGATTACAGTGAGGAGCTTGATCCCTTTGAATTTAACTCTGACCATGGACTGGCGGCTGGCTGGCTCCGGTGTCCAAGTCCCTGCCTTTCAAACCCATCTACTATCATCTTTGATTCTTCTCACGTAGTTTCCCCTGTCATTCCCACCAATACCGGCATTCCCAGGGGCCACATGAACACATTGCTCAATGTTTCCGTGCTCTGAAGGCCTCCCTGAAAACGTTAGGGTTAAAGATGCGCGCCCTACCCCCTTTTTGGGAAAAAGGGTGCACATGGGTGCGGGGCGGGTGCACTTTGGCGCGCACCTGCCACTGGCGCTGACAATCAGAAATCAGTTTGTTAAATAGACTACATAGAGCAGAAACTCATCATCAACCACCAAAAATCGACCACCTTTTCCACTCATCCAAACATCAAATCCTAAAAAAAAAAAAAAACCTAAAATAGTATCTTCAAAACCCTTTTCTATCTCTTTGATCTCGTAATCACCGTATCTTCTTCCCCTTTCCCTGTTTATCCTTTCCCCCTCCGACCTCTTTAAGATTGAGTTTTCCGATCCCCCCAAAAAAACAAGGTTTCAACCTTACGCTTCGGGTCGCATGGGTCAGCCTATGCCTCCCAAAAGCCAAAACGGTTCTCGGACCAACCAGGAAGGTTGGTCAAAGAACATAGAGATGGAGGACATTGACTCCTCCGGGTCAACTGTTGACCGTTCTCAAACCCCTGTCCAATCAGACTTCACTAAAAATCCTCCTCTCAATAGTTCTCGTCATAATCCTGAGAACGGTTTCTTCAAAGCGTTTGCAGAAATCCTCGCTAATCGGAACTCCGATGGGAGTATCTTCATACAACCTGATAAGGTTAACTCGTTACTTCCTCTTTTTGAGATCGAAAAGATAGCTAGCGTTCAAACTCTATCTCTGGTAGAGAAGATCACTATCCGTTTAGACTCCTTTGAGAGATCACTTAACTCGGTAGTCAACTCATCCTTGAAATCCTCACCTGCATGGGTGTTAGGTAAAAAAAAGGGTGCCCCTTCTAAATCGATTCCTCATTCTACTGTCTCTCGCCCTCCCCCTTCCACCCGAATCTTAATGAGTTCAAGTCGGCCTTTTT